AAAAATTAGAAAAGCCCGCTACCCTCCCTGCCCTAAGCATTTTCACGCATCTTTCATTCTCCTCACACTGTTGTGCAACTTCTCAATCAAAGATCAAAGGTTACGATTTCATCTCCATCTCTCGACTTCATCATCTCAATCAAGAAAAAGGGCTTCTGATTTCCATTCATCTACTTCATCGTTGTTGTAATTTCACCTTCTTCACCTCTCTACTGTTCTTGAGAGTACTCGCCAACAGTTTTCTTGCACTATTCCTTGACTTGCTTCCTTCTAGATACGCTTCTTCAAATAACTCCAACAACAACAAACCCCAATCCTACACCCCTCATCCTCTTCCATGGCATCATCAATTACCGGCGATATCATATACCACCATCTCTCCGATGAATTCTAATTTTTCGGCTTTAATTTGTAAATATATCCCGCGTACGATCTTCAAAAAGCTTCCGGTGGTAGATCTAGCATGGTCAGCGTGTGTGTGCAGGTTGAGGAGTTCAGTAGCTTCTGATCAAGAGATTCAGGTTAGGGCTTTCAAGGCGCCATGGAAACTGTAATGGTGTTCATTGTGGCGGAGGGATTAGGGTTTCTAGAGTGAGAGACGAAAGGGGAAATTGGTGTAAATGTCTGCAGAAGGAAGCATGTAATGTTGTTCTCTATTAACCGACGACTTAGGGTTTTAACTTTCACCACTGCTGCTGCTTCGCCACCTAAGCGAATCGACACTCATAATGCACCTTCCACTGCGACGAAGCACTAGGATGCTTTATGATTAGCCTCGCATCAAGGTTCCACAGAGTCCAAATCATTCGAACTAGAAACCTTCAGGTACTATCACTACAAGATCTCACCTCGAGCTCACTTCACCTCACCGAGACTGTAACGACTGCTCAAGTTTACAAGCATTTGTTTAAGAGCCAACCACTTTCGGGTCCTCACGCTCACAAGACTACGATTTAGGGTTTGTTACATTGTGCTTGTGTCAGACTTACAAGGAGATTAAGGGTTTTACAACTTCTCCCTATCGCCATCTATGAACTAATGAAGCCCTAGAAAGGTACGATTCAAGCATCGTCTAAGGTAAAGTTGGTAGTGCCTCATCCAAAAATAAATCGCAATATATCTTTGTTGTTCCACCCCGTAAAGGAGATTTAGGGTTTTACAACTTCTCGCTCTTTTTTTCTCTCGATATTTCTTCTCCATTCTCCCCCCTTTTTTTCTCTTGATATTTCTTCTCCATTCTCTTATAGTTATGTTATGTGGTTAATTTGTTTATACATATACTTGATACTTGATAACTATGTGTTGTCAGGTTTCTATTTCATCCCTGAAACATTGAGTATTGAGGAGCAATGCAGATGGATTAAGGAGAGCTATGACTTTCCTGAAGCAACTTGTAATCTACTCCACACATTACATTCTGACTTTCCTGAAGCAACTTGTAATGGTATTAGTTCATAGAGCCTTAGTGCAAAAGCACATCAATATTCTTGCCATAATTGCTCCTAGGCATCCAGATCTAGGGCATGAGATTGCTCATGTATGATTCCATGATTCTATATCAATTTTCTCTTTATTTATTATTATAAGTTATAACTTACTAAACTTTTGATGTTTTTTTTAAATATTATCTATACAGGTAAATTTGATCTGAAATAATCAGATTCATCAAAGGAAAAGGAAAACAAGGATGATGGGTCCCTGGTGCATTGACGGTTTTGCCCCTGTATGCGATGCTTCTTGGATATGAAGGAAGGGAAAGGTTTAAGAGTTATAATCCTTCTATAGTGGTGACTTATTTTTATTCAGATGTTACTGGTTTTTTTTAATAAATATTAGTGTTTTTGATAAATCAGGGCTACTCTGAGGAAAATCTTGATGGAGGAAACAAGAGTTCAGAGTATATTCATGACATTGTCATCAAACATGCTGATCGCCATAACCTTTTGCGCCCTGAAACCCTTGAATCATTGTTTGTTCTATATCGTATCACAGAAGATTCAAAGTATGTTCTATTATTATTATTATTACTTTTTTTAATCTTGATTTTATATATATATATATATTATTTTTTATGATATATATTAATTTTTTTAATGTTATTATCAGATATCGTGAATGGGGTTGGTCAATTTTCGAGGCGTTTGAGAAGTACACAAAGGTTGAATCTGGTGGCTATACCTCTCGTGAATGGGGTTGGTCAATCTTCATATGGCATTTTGTACACAAACAGAGCCTCCTTAACCTCTGAACAAGCCCGTACAATCAAGGTTCCGTTTCCGTTTTTCCTATTACCTGATTTCAACAATTTTTACAACTTCGCTTGTCAAATTAAGAGATTCAACCACATTTCTCTGCCGATATATGATTTGATTGGTAAATGGTAATCGGTAATCCACATGTTGATGATCTCTTATTGCAATTGAATTGTTTGAGTTTTAATCGTTGGATTTCTTATAATCTGTTCAAATTAGAGAAAACTCGTATGATTTTCGATATCTGTTTCTGTGGCTGATTTGGTTGGTGTTGCATGTTTGAAATTAACATGATTCCGTCAGTTTTTGAGCTAAAATTCGACCTAATAACAAATCCATCAAGTCTTCTTATCAATGTTTGATTGAAATTCAACAGTTAAGAGTTGCAATTTCTACATCGTCATTCTACTTCTGATTGAATTCAATTCATTGGGGATCAACTGCTCTTTTTGTATTTCATTTCAAAAACATTGTGAGAAAATATATTAATAAATCCTCTTTTTCACATGACTTTTTTTCGGGTGCAGATTCTTGAACAGAGAGTAGAGACATTAGAACGAGAGGTAGATGCTGCCATTTCAGCTTCAGCTCATGCTCGTATAGAGAAAAGAGAAGCTGAAGCAGGACAAAAAGCTGCTGAATTACAAGCAAAAGAGATGATAAAAGAGCTTGAAAACACCACAAGTATGCACACTCTATAACTTTTTTATTTAGATCTTAATGCTGTTGGAATAATTTCTTATTTTTATAACATTGTATTCTTCTTCATTTTGTACACAAACATGTATTTGGAAAACCCTAAGCCTTGGTGGCTATACACACATGAGCTGGAGAACAAAATCTCACGTTTGGAAGAGGAAAATGAAAGACCCAAGAGGCAGAAGGTATGTATATCTGTTTCTCATAGTCTTTTCTCTCTTTTTCATGTTATCCAGTCTCTTCCTTACAGGAATTGTCTTCATGGGTTTCTGGAAGCCCTGTTTCAGAAGGTTTTCAATCTTTCAACAATAATACAATCCAAAAAGACATAAATACCCTTCTACTTACTTCTTGAGCCTGAGCCGGGGTAGCAACGTTTCCAGTTCCAATAGCCCAAACATTATCCCAGTTTTTTTTATCTTATCTGCAAATTAAAAAAAATTCATGAAAATGATAGATGTTTGTTACTTTCACATTGTAAAAAAACGATTAAACAATTTAAAAATGAAAAATAAAACATATATTCATTTCCAAATCACCTGCAATTGCCTTAGTTTGTGCAGCAACAACTTTCATAGTTGTTCCAGCTTTTTCTACAAATGTTGGGGCTTTTTTCTCTGGCTTTTGTTTTTCTAATTTTTTAAAACTTGCATACATTTCAAATTCAGTTCTTTGTAAATGTTGGAAATATGGATTTTATGTTGCTTTTGTAACGTGTTGTTGGTGTTTTTAGTTTTAAATAATCTTAACCTGTTTTTATGGTGAAACAGTGTTCGCAAGAAAAATTATGGCATTGGAAGTTACCCAAATTCTGTTGAATGCACAAGTTGTTGATGGATCTGTTCGGAAGCATGCTCTAAACCACAAGCAAGGTTCTATACTTGCATCCATCACGTGGTTTATAATTAAATAAATTTGGGGAAATAGGGTTTTTGGTTCTACGAGTTCTTATAACCTGGTAATCAAGAACCCTGTATTCTCACTGTATCTTGCTTATGATAATCAGACTCATATATGTTTCACGTGGCTTCTTTTGCTTAAGAGTGATTATTGCTGCAATTTGTGCAGTCATGGTGACTATGGTTCATGAAGGATCTTATTTTCATGAGGCTCAATTTGATTCAAAGATGAAGAGTTGTAAGTGTCCCTCCTATAATCCAATTGTTGATTAAATGTGAGAAATTAGCAAGGTTAATCTTTCACATGTTGATAAGTTATTGATTATACAGGCTTTCATCTGAAGGACTCGTCTTTTTCACATCATATGATTTTTTACCCATAATGGATAAGTAATAACTGTTCTATCCCCCTTACATATCAAGTGGTAGAAATCAACCCTTCAGAGAGTGCAGATGCAGATCCCTTATCAGTTACAAAACCTGCCAGATCTGGAAAATTTAGCTTTAGGGGTACTTTTAGTCTCTTAAAGCCAAAATCAACTAGCTCAAGGAGGAACATCCAAGTTCTAGAAGCAATTGACCATACTACCCCTACTCCCAACATGTTTTCCCCACAGGACTATGTGGGACAAGGGGGAAATATGCTGTTTTCCTCTCGAAATGATGCCTATCTTTCACCTCGTGTGGGTATAGCTGTTGCCACTCAGAATTCTGATGTTTTTAGTGCTGGACTATCACTTCTTGAGCTCGAAAAGAAGGTGAGTCACATATTTTATTCTTTAAATAATTTTGTCACCTTCTCACTCAAAAATCTATTTAACTAATGGTAATGTCTATTCTTTTTCCTCTCATAGCAAAGAGTGGATGTTAAAGCTTTTAATACAGATTGATCTCACTACAAACTTTCGATTCTACTTCACATGACATCTGATAGGACAAAAGTAAATACATTTACTTACACGTTACACCATTTACGAATTCTCATTTTAAATTTCCGATGAAACTTCCATCATTTTTCGGATTTGTGAAGAGGAGGTTCTGACTTTTCACGTGGAAGAACATTCTAGAATTTGTGTGATTGCTGATTTTGATCAGACAGGTATAAGTGTAGATGAAAGGCTTGTAAGGGTTGCTGAAACCCTAGAAGTTAATGGAGTTGATTTCACAAAAGGATAATAGAAGTCCAGATGCTGCTAAAGCAAGTTCAAGTGTTACCAAAGACTGTGATTTCATGTCTCCTAAGCTTAGTGATTGGTCACGTAGAGGTTCAGAAGACATGCTTGATTGTTTTCTTGATCAAGGCGATAATTCTGTATCAATGGATGATCTTAAAGCTCACCCCTCTATGTCATGTAGGACCCACTTTGGTCCTAAATCTGACCAAGGAATGACCACATCATCTGCTGGCAGCATGACTCCTAGGTCGCCATTGATGACACCAAAAACCAGCCAGATAGACTTGTTATTGGCAGGGAAAGGGTGCCTATTATGAACATGATGACCTCCACAGGTAGGTAACAGGTTCTTATTTGTTATGAGATATAGGTACTGATATTGAAATATTTGTAGATGAATGAGTTTGCTGATATTGCTCGATGTGTTGGCAATACGCCATTGGATGATGACCGATCTTTGTCGTATCTACTGACGTGTCTTGATGACTTAAGAGTCGTGATCGACCGGAGAGAAGTTTGATGCCCTGACCGTTGAGACATTTGGAGCACGCATAGAGAATCTTATTCGGTGATAACATTTTATAATAAACATGTTTTTCATGAGGTGTGTGTTTGTCATAAATCATAAATCATAAATCATAAATCATAAATCATAAATCATAAAT